TTAAGCTCTTATTATTAACAAATTAATAAACGAGGGTGTGAATTAGCCAATACGTATGTGCTAAAACGTAAACAAATTTAATAACGCAGAGGAGATACAGTAAATATAGTAAAAATTCACAATCAGATTCAAACAATGGTTACCGAAGCCATACAAAATAAAAAGATATTCTTTTATTTACCAAAATACGCATACATATATATTACTTTGTTGAGATTAATTCATTTGTATGGCATAACCATATTACAAAGGAGAATACGAAAAACTGTATTAGTTTGAAACTTTTAAACATAGACCGTAATTAAAGTTGTGTGTAGTGAGGCGGCGACAGCTGTCAGTCGTGTCGAATGACCCTTGTGACGCAATCCCTCCTAAAATGTTCAAAATGTTCAGCTCAAGTTGGCAGACATCGGGTAAATAGTAGTAATGGACGACCGAGGTCATTTAGGAATAAGTGAAGTATTGTGGAAACCTAATCTTGGATATTCTAAGACATACTTGTTATTCGAGACCCGTCATCTTGATGAAGTTTTAGAGGAATCAAGTGAACGAACTGTCTGACAAACACGTTAAAATGAAATGTAGATTATAGGCAAACTATTTTAATATAAACTATTAGAAATAACATTTTGCATCGCATTAACCTTGACTAAAAATTTTAGGAATAAAAAAACAGTACAAAATAACAGACACCAGTAAAAATGGAAGAAATCGAATATTTGGTAATAAGTAGATTTGAAAAAGTATTAAATAATTTATTATATAATATACCAATGCACGTAAATGCTATTTGTATTATTTTGCTTTCATTCAGTTGTAAACATATATGCGTCTGTACCAGTTAAGTTTCAATGAAATAAAGTTAAAAACCTTCCCTTCTCAGGGAACGCGTTAGTAAAATGTGGAGGCATGTCATAATATAGTATGAGTGATAATAATTAAACACTCGAACACTATCATCGCACGATTTTAATTTTCTGTAGTTAGTTTCACGTAATGACATGAAAGACTTTCGCGAGTTTTATTCTTTTAGAGGACTTTGTTTCACCATAATTTTCCTCTCAACCGAATTTATTACTGTCACATAATACATATTTTTTTATTATTTTCTTAATATTGCGTCATTATTTATTGTTTATTTGTGCTACGAGTATTATCGGTGTCGGTATTAATTACGATAAATTAACTATAAACCGTTTAATGTAATGACTTCACTATTTACGATATTGGTTTTATCTTCTCGAAACTTAAAAGGTGCAGAGCGTCACGTTTGACCTGACTCGACCCAAAAATACAAACAAAATGAATATACATGATATATATCTATGTTTCTGTATGTAAAAAACAAAAACTGAGTTTGGTATCATGTCTGGTTCGTGTTAAAAGTACCAATAAAACATTATCTTTATTAAAACCATTACACTTAAACCCCAGGTATCAATTAGGCTCAACTTACTTTCTAACTATGAGCGTGTTAAATAATTCATATAAAATATAATTAATTATAAAAGATTTTGACATTGGTGAATTATTCCAAATATTTTTGTACTACAACATTGACAATTTTCACCGTAGACAGGAATGAAAAATTACAACAAGATAGAGAATACAGAGGGTAGAGAAGTGATTTACCGGCTGGTATAAGTTTAATAACGTTTCTGCCACTTAAGTAATTTTGGTCATATAATTGAAATAACAACTTTGGAAGCTGATCTTGCAAAGTAATAAAATATCTTAATTTGGTTATATGTAAATAATGTTTGTAAAAAGTCTATATAAAATAGATATATTTGAATGCCTATTGATTGGTATTAATATCGTTTTAATTTCAGATGTTATGTAAGCTGTGCTTCAGTATATAAAGTGATTTGTATCTACTGATCCTTAGCCGTCTCTGTTGGAGACAATAAGCGCTTTATATGCAAATCAGTTTGAAGAAGCTTGTTATAGAATAAGCCAATGTACAGCAATACTTACAATATAATATACATTGGAAAACATCCATATTATATTGCTAATTTCAAAAGTAAGACGAAAGGAAGTTTTAACATCGTGAGGAAACCTGGACTTATAATTTCAAAAAAATTATAAGTTTGAAATCACCAACTCGTCTTGAGCAAGGGTGGTAATTAACGCTCAAACCTTCTCCATGAGAGAAAGAGGCCTTTGCTCAGCAGTGGACTCTGATAGGCTAAAAAAAAAAACAAAAAAAGGTGTTTTCATCGACATGAGATTATTTAAAACTTAAGCAAACAAAAAGAAATAAGCACCGATTTGAGTTGGTTACGGTGACTGTTTAATTTTATCACTTATTCCTATCTTGTTTCCTTTTTTTATAATGTCAATATTTCTTTTTTTTACATGTCTAAAATAGGAAGCAATAAAAGAATATGAGCCTGAGGTTACACTTTTTGAATTATTTTAGCGTCAATAGAAATGGAAAAGTTTACAAATTACATTTATATAAAAAGTCAATGATCTATCTATAGAACTGTTTGCCTTTTCTAATTTACGATAGTTCCTTAAATTGAAGGGTTACAAATAGTAAATAAATTGATGGTCTACTTTATCTTGAAAGCAGCCTACATATTTTACAACAATGTTAAAATGAATTTTGAAAATCAGGATTTTTTAAGTGTTAAAAAAATAAAGAAATACTACTAAAAATGTGATAAGCGTAAAAAATGGGTCCGTTAAAAATTATATATACAATCTGTATAATTTCATATAGTTTATACATGAAGTGGCGAGCCACCTATCGGAGGTGATTGTAAACAACATGTGATTACTTTTTGCGCCATCTATTAGTGGCATCTGGAATCAACATATAAGATTGTCTATGGTTATCGTGTCATTGAATATTGTATTGTATATACACCTAGAGAGGTGTTCATAATAATAATGAAATCTTATAATTTCGCGAGTATTCATTGAAATAAAAGTAATATTTATAATAATTATTTTTTACAACATACTCCAAACATTTCGATTACTTTGCAGCAACGGTTATCACGAACAGACGAGATGTGAATAATATTAAATTAATATTGACAAATTTTCTAATAATGATTCACCGGCCATGACCAGCAATTGGAGGAAATTAAGCAGTGTTTGTATTTTATAAGGTACATAAGTACGGTAGGGTGTACCTGATAGACAAAAATTAGGAAAACTTTTTTTTTTCGGTTATAGTAACATTTTTTCAAAACCTATTATTTGTCAGTATCCCTTTTGATATTAAAATAACTATTGAGTCTATTTCTTCAATTATTCATTAAGTTTCTGAATTTGAATCCCCATTTCTGTTTGATTATTGACACTTACCAATTGTCAGTTTGAGTTTTTATTATTGTTAGATACAGAACATACAGTAATGTACTCTACTTACCAAGTGACTCTGGCGGAATATTCTGTGCACGTTTCCTTTCGGATGAAAGCTACAAATTAAGAATCGAATTGAAGTAAAATATAATAAATAAAATTTTGCCTTAGAACTGTATTTTGAAGAGATAATAAAATTTGTGTTTTTTATTGGTTGTTCTTGTTTAATGCAATATAATAATAATTATTAATTGTATCTCAATTTTTGATATTCTGTATAAGTATGTTATATGGTATCTTTATGTATTAAATTGCTGAATAATATAATGAATGTATGTAGGTACGTATTTATATGTATACTAGAAGACCCGGCGAACTTCGTTTCGCCCTATAATCAAGAAATATCTGTTACGTTTTTTTATTTATATTTTTGGAGTTTACCTATTAAAGCCATAAATCTCCGTGTTTTGAAGTGATTAGGAATGATTAATAGTTAATATGAGAGTTACACTGAGCTAGCAAAATAATAATTGTCAACGTTACTACTACACTTGATGCACAAACAATAACGATGGCCGACAACTGTGTAGGGAGTGAGAGAAGTCTAATTGTGTGAGAGAAACAGAAGACCGGCTTCGTTCTCATCCCTACTCCGTGCTGTTTACTGGGTCAGAAGTGACACCTGTAGATATCTGGCGGGGATAACTTATTAAATGACGATTGATCAGTTATCGACCGGAGATGAAAAATGATTAAATTACTAAAATAGCTATTAAAAAATAAGGGTTGATCGTAGAAGGGTGAAAATTTAGGATTGTATGTATTTTTGTACGTTGTATCATAAAAAAATAGTAATTAAAAATTTTGTCTAAAAAATAAAAAAAAAAAATTTAGGGGTGGACTACCCCTAACATTTAGGGGGATGAAAAATAGATGTTGGCCGATTCTCATAGCTACCGAATAAGCACAAAAAATTTCATCAAAATCGGTCAGGTTGTTTCGGAGGAGTATGGGCACGAAAACTGTGACACGAGAATTTTATATATTAGATTGTTCACAATTTGCAGTGGAGTTGTAAAGATTATATTATGATAACATTTCAATAGTTAGTAACTCCATGATTCAACACACCATTTATATCTTTAATGAAATTTAACAGTTCCTCCTCTCTCATTTGCTTTATATTCTGAAGAAGAAGAAAATATAACGAAATATTTTTATTTCAAGTAGTTTTATTAATAGTGCATCATTGTATATTTAGTTTAGAATGTCCGTTTTCGTGTGAATATGATATCTATTTTGTTAGTAATAGTTAAGAGACGGGTCATTAATTATAATTATCTTGCCTGAGCAAAAAAATCTAAATATTTGATGTTGATTTTTGTAAAGAATAAATTTACATACATAGTTTGGGTTCAGTATAATATTTAATTGTTTTGTTTCCTTCTTGTATTTCACTAGTTACTTGTTAAGCTACCTATATAATTATAACGTTTACGATAGTCATAATATATTTGCATTATAAGTCGAACCAAAACAAATTACTTCTAGTAGGTACAAAATTTTTAGTTTACATTTTGGCTTGAACCCTAAACACGTTTTTCTTGAGATGTTTACTCATATATATAAGATAAATTGTACCAGGTCTTTTAGTATCTCGCTTAACACTGTCGATAAACATGTCTCGTGAGGTGTCGGGGAAAATTATTGTCATCACGGGCGCCGCGACCGGGCTCGGCCATGGCATGGCTGATAATTTTCTTCAAAAAGGAGCGAAAACAGTAATAGTTCTGGACATCAATGAAAAGAAAGGACAAGAAGCTGTTTCATCCTTCAACAAGAAATACGGGAATAACCGAGCAGTGTTCATAAAGTGCAATGTGTGTACGGATCTAGAGGAAGTTTTTGACAAGATAGTAAAAGATTACAGTGACGTCGACTGTCTAATCAACAATGCTGGGATCTTCGATGAGAATAATTTAGAAGGAACCATCGGCGTAAACGTCACGGCATTGATCAAGTGGTCAATGAAATTCTATGATTATATGAGAATTGATAGAGGAGGGAAAGGTGGTACTATCATCAATGTTTCATCCATATACGGATATAGAATTATGCCTTACATACCATTTTACCACGCATCCAAATATGCCGTGATAGGATTTTCTAAATCACTAGGACATGAAATGAACTTTAAAAGGTCTGGAGTTTGTATCGCGACTTTGTGCCCAGGACTTACCTTCTCAAGCATGACGAGTGAGCCAAGGGTAAAGGAAAAAGATATGGAGGAAGAATTCCTAACTCATTTACAAAAAGATTACGAATGGCAATATCCCGAAGCAATCGGAAAAGGAACCGTTGAAATTTATGAAAAAGCTGAATCTGGTAGCGTCTGGCTCGTAGAAGGTTCGAGACCGGCAGAGAAAATAAATGTTTGAGTTTTAAATGAGTACCTACATGTAATATAAAACTAAAAACAAACATGGAAATTATAAATGTTATAGCAAATTCTATGTAAACATGACGAATTTAAATGATGAAGACAAACGTCATAAAATCCTAAGATAAGATTCTCGGTAACCATTTATAACGTTTACAAAACGCTCCACTTTTATGACGCTTTGTTAAAAGTAAATGTAAGAATTATTAGGTAAATGTTAACATTGTAATTGTTTTCAAGCAATGATCTTAATGTTTGCTACTTAACTATTCACGTACAAAAGAGGTTTTATATATTAATATATATAAAAGAATATTCTGTTTTTTTTATTATATAATTAATGTGTTTTTAAAAAGGTGAAGGCTATCGCACATCTCAAAAGCAAAGATTAAATTAACGTAGACAATTATAAAAAAAACTTGTTTGATTTATCAACTTTGTTTGAAAAAACCTGTTTTGTTAGGAAACTTGCCATTGAATTATATGCCGAAAGGTAAAGTTCTAAATCATAACCAGAAAGATTTGTAGAATTTTTGATTAAAAAAATGGGATAAAAATTAAATATATGACTATTATTATATTTTATATTGCACACAGAGTACTGATTTTCGTAGAAATTAATGATAATACTCGGAGGTCACGAGAACAGTTCAAATAACTAAAATTAACCTACAATGTGATGATTAAACAGTTGACGACTCTGTAAACAACTTCATACGATAATACATTCAACGCAAGTATTGTTTTATGTATGTTAAGATCACGTTGTTAGACTGGCTCCGGCTCCTGTTATTTACCTTAATACTACATAATAAATATCAGAGATATCATGTTACCTAGAGATTTTATTATATTTAAAAAAGCAAAATATTTTAACATATATTTTAAAGGTAAGTAATTAACCAGACAGGAGTAAGAACCGCTATATTCATATGATTTTATCGTCATTATCCTTTAAGTAGTTCGTTCTCCATACTGCAGCATATTTGGAAGTTGATTGTGATGTTTAATTCAAATTTATTTATTAGTCTGTTTGTATTGTTTTATTTATATAGTACTTGATAGTTTCCGATGGTACGTCTTGTTTACATACCACTTTAGATGCGGGGATGTGAATGGCAGTGTATAGTGGAGGTTAGCTGTTAGTTGCTTAAAAATTATCAATGATCGCACAATTCTAAGTGTCGGAGTATTAAAATTAAAGTAGGTTTTGTTTGACCACACTTACATGTATGTCGTTAATGTCTACAATCTTTAACTGACTATAAACGACTCTAGATAAGTCATGACATCGGTTTTGATAGATCAAAAATAACAAACTAATCAAAAACCAAAAAAATAAATAAATAAATTTGTGTTCTCAACAGTCTAGGATTAGGATTTTTTTTCATCCTATTGGTATTATTATCTAGACTTGTAATAATATTTCTAGAAGATTCCTCTTATGTGAACATTAATTTTCTCTAATATATGTATTTTAACGTTATACTCGTAAACATGGCCGTTCTGAATAGGATCTCATTCTTCTCGGCCAATACACGGTCTCTGCTAATCTTGCAAACCCATTTTGAATATCTAGGTCTTTGATAATATCTCTCGTCTTCGATCATGTGCTATGTGCTGGACCAAGTCAGTGACCACGTAACCTTGTGTGCTCATTATAAGAGTTTTGTAAATATATCTCCGACCTTCATAGTTTATGTGTACTTAAATGGGTCCCAATTTGTTTTTCAATCTTTGACTGTTGATTTATGTATATACCAACGTATTCGTGTCCAATGTTTATCTCTTTAAAGGTATTGGAAACGGAAAACTTACATTATGCACAATATACAAATTTAGCAAGTGATCGCAGTTTTATATACTCGTATGCCAATGGAAAAGATGACTTAGAAAAGATAAAGATTCATGAAACCTACGATCTGTGTTAAAGGCGTTATGATTACTTTTTGGAGACTATTAGATAATGTTACGCTTGACTACCAAACAAGCCCGTCTTTTTAATAGAAATTTAAATTCATAAATCCCGATTAGCACTAAAGGTTAAAGATAATCATGCTTTTGTTGGACTTTAGTGGGTGGGGAGATTAATTTATTTCAGATTATTAAATGTATACAAACTTGTGTAGATTCACATATTCTTAATCCGGCTTACGAAGGATCTTTAACGTCTATAATGTATTTTAATTATTTCATCTTCGGTGCCTTTATTTAATTAGTATAAAGTTTTTAAGACTTTCTTCAGAAAAGGCGATATCTTTATGATTTGGACCTTCGTAATACAGCTTGCCGATCTCAACCAACTCATCGTTCAGGTTAACTTAAGTTTAGTTACAGTTTGAATAAAATGCATGAAATTTTAAACAATATTGTTGTATTTTATAGTGATGGGGTTGAAAGAATCAAAAAAGACCTAAATTATTGTTGAATGTAACTTATTAGCTATCTATTGACATCTAAAAATATATTTTATGAAATTGGGCAATTAAGATATTATGATAACCCTGGAGATATCGAGTCGAATAATTTACAAGAAGTAATAACTGTTATTAACAAGTAACAAATAATTTTCGTTTTAATAAATATTAGATAGTAATTCAATATTGGTAGGTTAATTATTATAGAATTTCATTCATTTTTTCATGACATTGACATTGAGACTGATATTGACTTTTACATTGACAAGTAACATTTTATGAATTTGAATTTGCCGCGCTTCGAACATGTGTAAGCTGTCTGTGGAGTTACGCGTGATTGAATGGCGGTAGATGTTCAGGTTAATTCAAATTTTATGCCTTATAATAATTAAAAACTTGTAGAGAGTTTGATAAGAGGTTATAATTGAGGAGGTGATATTAGTGAACTGTAAATGTCGTTTTTTAATTACTTCATATGAGATAAAAGTGTAACTCATATAGTTAAACGATAAATTCTAAAGATGTGTTATATAAAAAAAAATCTTGTATTTTCAAAAATAAAAAAAAAATAGTTTATTTTTTAAACTCCTCAATAATACATCTTAAATATATTATAAGGTAGTTGCAATTTAACGACACTAAAATGGAAGCCAATTCTTAGTAATCGCATAATACATAGATATTCCTTACTTTGCGGTTAGTTATCATTGTAACATCACGCCACATGCATACTCATAGGCTAAACTCAAACCGAAATAACGAAAGAATGCTGTGATAATATATGGCCAATACTGAGAGCCAATCAGCGAGTATTAGTGACGTCATGCCTGTTATATTTACTCTAATTAAAAATATAAATACTCTGTAATATGCCTTGTAGAGGTCATTCCTGTTTTGGAAGCGTGAGAGTAAACTATGAATTATAATGCTGAAGTGTGACAAATGTATATGAAAAGCATTCTCTCTTATTATCTTATCGTTAATTATCTAAATAATTCTGTTGATATTCTTATTACCAATAAAAAATTGTTTTTATGTGATTATTAATTATTTTTTCAATTATTAAATAATTATAGTAGAATCTTATAAATTGGAATAATGTTTATTAGAACGGATGTCTGTAACTGTCTTTATCTGTTTTATTAGCCTTTGATCTGTTTACATTTTGTAAATATATTTATAGTCGCATGATGTGAGACTTGGTATTCATTGCTTACTAGTATTAAAACTGAGTTTGTATCGTTGAACATGGCTAGAGAGCTAAGTAATAAAGTTGTAGTAATAACGGGAGGTGCGGTTGGTATCGGCTGTGAGATAGCTGGAAGATATTTACAAAGAGGTGCCCAGGTCACTATAATTCTTGACATTGACGAAAAACAAGGACAGGAGACAGCGACGAATCTTTGCACAACATACGGCGCTAATAGAGCATTTTTTATGAAATGCGACGTCACTAAGGATTTAGAAACGGTTTCAAAGGAAATTTTCGAAAGTTTTAAGAATGTTGATGTATTAGTGAACAATGCTGGTATATTAAATGACCAAGCGTCGAAAAAAACAATCGATATTAATGTGCAAGCCTTAATTGATTGGTCCATAACATTTTGGAATCATATGCGCAAAGAGAAAAATGGTAATGGTGGTACCATAATTAACTTAGCCTCTATTTATGGATATAGAGTGGATCCATATCTACCAATCTATCAAGCTTCGAAGTTCGCTGTTATGGGTTTTACAAAATCCCTAGGCCATGAATACAATTACCACAGAACAGGAGTCCGAGTTATTGCTATATGTCCTGGCTTCACTGAAACTAAACTAACAACTGGGGTCAAGACTTGGGACGATGAATACATAGCCCAAGATTTCTCAAACTTTGTTCAAAAGCAATTATGGCAAAAAGTGGATGCAGTAGGCAACGCTGCTGTAGAGGCGTTCGAAAAATGTAACAGTGGAACTGCGTGGCTAATAGAAGGAGGGAAACCCATTGTTGAAGTTTAATTCTTGTGAAATAGATTATGTTTGAGTTACTTCACATTACAGAGCTCACAATAATATATAAAAATAGATTGAAAGTATGAAATTTTACTTATAATATATATATATATACATTAAGGAAACAAACATATATTTATTAAAAATACTACAACTATACTATAAGTCCTTGCACCTAAAGCAGAGTGAATCGAAGACAAAATAAAGACGTTTTAGGAAGCATTTTTTGGGTTTTATTAGAAATGAAACTAAATTGAAGTAAAAGAAGAATTTTGACCTAAAAAAGATAAAGAATTATTATTTTTATATTAGAATGGAATTTATTTTCAGATAACTGATATATAAGGGTTTGACGTATACAATTGCATCTATGTATTTTTTGTGTTTGGAGATGACTAATAAATAAAATGTGACACGTGATAGAGAATTTTTTCTTCCTTTTTTTAATAAGTAAGACTAGTTTCATATTAATTTTATATAAAAACATTATTGATAAGCTTACAATATCCTGAATCAGAAGAATTTAATTTTCATATTAATCATATTTTCTTCTTAATTAGTTCTTACCTTAATTGGTACTACTTAAACAAAATAATTGTACGTAGAGTCCCTCCGAGCGGAGAAGTGAAACTTCGTAATATTGGAATAAAAACAGGAAAGGGTAGAAAATGATTTTTAAAGAGTTTTTTTTGTGTTTCTTTAAAAACTTTATTAATATTACTTACAAGTCACAATGGATTGCCACATCACCATTTTTTAAGTAATATACAGTAACATTAATATCGGACCAACTACATATGATATTTATAACGTTTGCAATTTTATTTCGTGAAAATAGAAGTTTTATAACAATGTTTATACACTTCAATAATATGTATGGTATTGTTGTTAAAACGTGGAGCCTGCAGTATAATGAGCAAACATCATTTAAAAGAAATAAAAATTTAAGACTAAAAAGTTAGATAAACTGGGTCAACATTCAGACCTGACTCGAGAGTTTTCACTTAAAACATTTTGAGAAGCGTCAAAATTTGCTGCTTAAATGAAATGAGACACATTATAAGGTGTGTTCACATTAGCTTAGAAGAATACTTAGGTGCTAATTTTTACTATTATAACATTACCTTAAGGATGCCACAAGGTGGAGTTGCCTTAACTAAATATAATTGAAATTTCTCATCTTGCATTTTAATTATGAACATATTTCGTAACTTATGCAACTTCTATGTAGTATTTATATGTTTAGATCAATTATATAATTTTAAATTGTGTTCTTTAATAGGGACGATTATATTTCTTATTTAGTCAAATGTATAGTATACAAGGTTCTATTGATCTTCTGTCAGCATTTAAATTTATAATTTTAAAATTAAAATTTTGAATGAATTTTTTACATCCTTTATAGAATAATTTAGTGAATTATGTTCTAACGTGCCGAAAATCCAAAAAAACTTGCACTTTTATAAATTAAACCACTTGTCTTTAATTATTCACTATATATTGAATCAGTTTAGGAATAATGAGTAAGGGGTCATGAAATAAAATTATAAAAGAAGAAAGAATTTTTGTTTGAGACGAGCAGAATAAGAATTTAATTAAAAATTTTTGCATGCAAAATATTTAACATCATTCTTTCATTTCTTTAAGTTTGATGAGAATAACGTTATTAGATTATTTAATGAATTTTAATAATATATTATATTTGATTGTATGTTTTATGTATGAATGTAAATATTTTTGAAAATTTTGTAAACCTACCTTTACTTTGTCATCAGTGTTAAAAAGGACCTTACAAAGGTATTGTTAGCGTCGCCTTTTGCTGACTGACCTCAAGGAGGTCACAAAACTAGAAATAAAAAGACAAAAATTGAGGAACAAATAAAACTGAAATAAAAAGTGCAAATTATTGTCTAAATAAAAGTCGAAAAGTTGTACTATATATTTAAACCTCATTGTTAACATCAATAAAGATTGTATTAAGAAAATTGTACAGATTTTTTAATGTATTTATGAATCAAGAAATATATGAACTACATTCATACATTATAAATTAATTCAATGGATACATGGAGAATATCTTTAAAAATCAAATTGAAGGAAAATACATACGAATATACAAGTTTTATTATCTACATATATTGTCTGGTATGTGACTTACGAGGAAATATGTGAGTGTAAATATTATGTTTATAACATTAACCGAAGGTCAAATGTATCAAGGTTATAGTAATTAGCAAAACGTACTACAATACTAAGCTGTATTAATAAAACACTTTTATAGATCTTTACTACATTAATTAATTCTTTAATATCATAGAATAATTTACAAAGGACGTTAGAATTATCGTGTATAAAAGATAAGAAATTAAAACCCGACTGCGTCTAGATAATACCACAATCAAAGTTTGAATGTATACAAAAATTCATACACACATACAGTCAAAAAAAATAACCTTCGTTATTCTGTAATTCGACAAAATAGGACTTAATTGGATTATATGTATTTATTTATGGATTTAGTTCGGCGCCTAACTTATTTACATAAATTTTGTGGAGATTGGATAAGTGTATTAAACATGAGAAACAAAAATTTCTTGAACAATTGTTTAGACGATGTATACGAATATTATGTACTACCAACTATATTCGTTTGTGTTTTGTTGAAACTTGACTAATATTGATTATTCTTGTGTTGTTTGTTAGTATGTATACTGCATGTATTCTAGTAATTTAAAACGTTATAATGAACAGTGAAATTCGTTGCAATACTTTTGAAAATCAATCCTTCTACTTCCGTAATTAATATATGTATATCTTGCTAATCATAATTAAAGTATTTATATGAAAAAAACATTTATTTAACATTTATCTTGTAATATATCTTGGCGAGTATGTAATGAGGTATTGTCCGTGCAGGTGGGGGGCGGAGGAGGGGGAGGAGTAAAAGCTTTGCAACATTAGTTCCCATCAACGGGCTCTAGACTTAGCGAAGTAAACATACGAATGGAAAGTAATCCGAGCATTAAAGGGATTTTTATATTACATTTATTTGAGTAATTTGTATACGTTTTTTTTATGATATCTCTTTTTAATGAAAGGAGATGTTCCAAGGTCCGATGATAAGGAAACAAGGATCTTATGATGGCACCCTAGAGAAATTGAGAGAAACCTGTGAAAATTTTACATAACTCGGAAACTGTATAATAATAATGGTAACTGATCTCTGTGGTTTAGTTTCCTCTTAGTTTCTGTTCACTGGATTTTAAACTTTCACGTTACTAAATATAAACGAAATTGATGCACAAATTTTGGAGCTTTCATTAGACTTGAATTTTTTGTGTTTTAATTATTTTATGCATTATTAATTAATAAATATTATTTAATAACAAGTTTTCCCTTCAGACATTGTTAATATAATCCTATTCTCGTTTATGATAATCAGTTAACAATTAATTCATGCTGCTTTTACTTCTGCATAAATAAGAAGCGTTCCCTAATTGGTGTTCATTGACGAATATTAATGTGTCTGAATTAAACACGACGGACCCTCGGCCGCATATTGATAAGACTTGACTTATTGTTATTCTGATACCGTCTATCATTTTCATTCATTTTGTCTCATTTTCGCTTAAGTATTTAGTAAGGAAAAATTCAATTGAAGGAAAAACTTTTACTTGCATTGTAGCGTTATTTATGGAAACATACTTTTTTAATGACTAAATCGAGTGAAACTGTTTCTTTTTTTATTATAAAATGTATTTAAAAGTCAGCGCTTTTTTAGGTTCCTTAACTTTTGCTGCATTTAGTAAGCTTTGGGGCATTTTTGGGTAACTTTATCCAAAAAGTATCAATCGATCATACAAAATCGGAGAAGACTAGCGTTTTCTGCTCTGTTTTAATCCGTTTAGCTAGAAATCTGATTTTCCAATTTTTCCATTATTAAAAATTGTCCTGGCATGTACTAGTCTAACTCAAATTCATTGACTTTCAAAAGTTAAGTGGGCATTGTCGGTGTTCATTACTTCTATAACAAAATATGTCTGTCTACACATTTTAAATGCAGACTTTCCTCTGGCTCAAACATTTATAGCCGCGTATGTGTGCCGCGAGTATTTTTACTGTAATTTAAGAAATACAAGCGTTAAGGTTAAAGCAAAGTGGTCTTACCTGGAAATGTTTCTCATCATCAATGAATGGTGACACCTTAGATTTTTATTATATTCCTGACATATTCCAGGAATATTAGTTTCAGAATATTACAAATTTAGAGATTTTTTTCCAAGTACTGTGGTTTTATTTTCGCTTTATACTTGGTAAAATAAATGTTAAACCAACCAAGTTATTATATATTTTTTTCCAGTTTTTACACAAAGTATCTCCAACATTTTTACACGTATTGTACATTAAAACGAAAATTTCATCCCTTGGTCATGACAGCTGAGAATTATTTAAAATGACAGACTAAATAAATATAAATGTAAATACTATGTTATGCTCACACATACCCGAGGAACATACAAAAAATTTAAAAGAAAAAATGGGTTTATTTATATAAAATTTTCAAGTTCTACTACAAAAACACTTTATAATTAATATTTAATTGTTTAGGTTCATTTAAGTAACTTTATTTGTTATGTATGAAAATGTTTCTCATAAAACTATCTTATATTTATTTTAGCCTCACGTTTTACAGGAGATGAAAGTTTCATGTAGTCATGTTATTTGTCATGACAGACAGTCAGTCATGGTTTTTCTCATCTATCACCAATGCTTTCGATATTTACTAACGTAGCGTTGCGGATATTTGTAAAACATAGTTTTATGAAGTAACTTAAAAGTGAAGTCGAATTATAATGATAATAATAATAAAAAAAAATCAAATATATCCGATATAATATATATATATATATATGTATATATATTGAAATGTCTAACATAACTCGTATTTTTAGGTCTATGATATTAAGAAATTTTTTGTTTTATTATGCATAGTACATATACTACTA